GCCTTTTTTAAAAGCAGAAAAATCAGGCAACAGAACCTCCATTTTATAAACAAAAAACTTCATAAGCAGTTCTCACTCCTCTGCTCTACAGCCCCACAGCCCTCTCTTTTTAAGGGGAATTGATTCTTTTAAAACTCAGTTCAGAATCACTAAGTCTTTAAATTCTTTAATTTACTCCAAGACCCATAAGTCTGAGTTAGGCTCCTCCTTCACACATTCACATTTTTAAAAACCATTTTTATCATTTTATAGCATTTACCAATGTGAAAGAATTCATCACACTGCATTGTAACCGTCTGCTTCTAAAAACAAAAAAACATGCTGACTCCCTGAAGGCAGGGTTTGTAATTTTTAATCTGAACAACCAGCAGCAAACATATCGTTTGGCCTACTGCAAGCAGTTCAGTAGTTGAACTAAGTCACTTGCTGAGTGACAAGGACAGAATTAAAAATTCGGTGTTAATTCCTAATTTGAAGTTAATTTCGCCGTATATCATTTGCTTCAATAAACAAATGTAACAAAACATTTCTGGTAGAACAAACAAAACACTTCCTCCTATTTTGATGCTATCTACTGTAGCAAAGCATTTTCTTAAGAGAGGAAAAACTGTAGGTTGCAAAATGGAATTATATGAAGTACCTCAAAATTTTTTATGCCTTTTCAGATTATGTTCTTGGAAATGGTCAAATCCTAAGAGAAACAGAGGCTAGCAAATGGAATTCTGTTGTTGACTGTTCTACTTCACCACCTATGGAACAAAGACTTGTCCCCCAACCCAACTCATGCCCTTATACAGATTTTGGCCTGTTACTTTGATTTTAATTACTTTAAGGTTTCAATGTTATCTTATTACATGCCAAAGATGGGTTATAGTTGGTACTCACATGAAAAGCTAAAGTTCTGAAAGTTAAATGGGTTCAAGTTTGAGATGTTTGACAATTTGCCTCTTAAAATTACTTCATCTTAATGTCTTTTTTGGCATGCTTCTAAAATTGTATAGCCATTATTTGTCTCTTTGACATGTTCTTTTTCCTATAATCATCACTTAACACATTTTATTAAATCATGTTAAAATAAGATTTCTTCCACTCTTTTAACCACAATGCAAACTGCATAACAGCAAACTAGGAAAAAAAAAAAAACCAACTAAAAAATCTCCCATAATCCCATGCTGTTTATTTTCACAATATTTTATGAGTTGCAAAATATTAAAAGTATTAGCCGGGCTCGGTGGCTCAGCCTGTAATCCCGCGCCTTTGGGAGGCTGAGGTGAGTGGATTGCCTGAGCCCGTGGGTTCGAGACCCGCCTGGGCAGCGAGACCTCATCTCTACAATAAATCAAAAAAATCAGCTGGGCATGGTAGTGTATGCCTGTAATTCCGGCTACTTGGAAGGCTGAGGCAGAAGGATAGCCGGAGCCCAGCAGGTCGAGGCTGCGGTGGCCGGAAGCGGCCACTGCACTCCAGTCTGGGCGACCGATTGAGACTCCAACTCAAAAAAAAAAAAAGTATTTTTTGATCCTGGCAATTCTATAAAGTAGAAAATGTAGAGACATTTTTCTGAAGAGATAAAGTCAACCACCTAACAAAACAGCTAGCAAGTGGCAGAATTACAGGTCAGGCCCAGCTCTTCCGGCTGTCTGACCCCAAGTCTAATGCTTTTTCCACCATAATACACAAGTGTTGAATGCAGAAAAGTGACTGTTTGGAACACACATTCTTGCTTTTAACAACTGCATAATAAAAACATTTAAAATTCTTTTTAGTATTAAGAAGTACATTTAAGGACATTTGTCCATAGAAAAATCATTTAATTCTATAGATAATCTTTATCTATGATAGTGAACTAATTCCTTTCACCTATCCCATCACCTCAACTGAAATATTGAAATTTTGTATTGAAAAAAGAATTCTATCAAACATTCTTTTTCAATTAATTGTTTAAAGTTCGTTAAATAATACTAACAGAAAGCACTGCCAACTCTGATGAATAACAAAATTATTTGAAGCTCATTCTACCTTTCTTAAAATGGAAATTCCCTTTTACCATCAGTTGTGTTTACTGAGAGTCACTCTAATTACCAATTTTTGCCAAAATGTTTTTGTTCTTTGAAATATAAGAACCATCATGCTTCCAGTTTAGATGTAATCTACCTTCTACAATAGGTTATATAAGGATATCATAGCATCTCTGGTGAAATTATTTTACATTTGTTATAGTTCCTAAAAAGTTTTGTATTTCTTTATAAAAATGTAAAACTTTAAGAAATACCAAAATCTTGAAAACAATAAAAAATTTAACTAGAAAAATAATTCTCAATTTTAAGAGCTGTCTAAGGGAATATAAGTGTATACTTTGTTTAAATAAATTATCTTGACTATCAAAGAAAACAGGATATAGTAAAACATTAGATTAAATGGTTGGCTATCAAGTTTAATATAGGTTTATAGGGTTCAGCAGAGAATACAAAACTTGGAGAAGACAGAAGCTATTGATTGTTGTTAAAAACCATGTTACCCCCGCCCTCAAACTCCAAGTTTACAATTAATAAAGACGATGTGACGATTGCAGGAATAAAATTATATTAATATTTTTTTGTTTGATTTAGCTGGGTGTGGTGGTTCACGCCTGTAATTCTAGCAGTTTGGGAGGTGGAAGTGAGAGGACTGACTGAGCCCAGGGGTTTGAGACGAGCCTAGGCAACTTTGTGAGACCTCATCTGTACAGTAATTGTAAAAAATTAGCTGGGCTTGGTGGCGTGCACTTGTCATTCCAGTTACTTGGCAGAAGGATCATCTGAGACCAGTAGAGGTCGAGAATGCGGTAGCTGTGAGCATGCCACTGCACTCCAGCCCGGGTTACAGCATGAAACTTTGATTTAAAAAAATCTATATATACATATATAAATAAATATATATATAAAATTTTGCTTGATTTGACATATCCTAATACAAATTATATTTAATGTAGGCAAATGCTTTGAAAATATGTAAGTACAAAAAATGAAATATACTGTCCTTCAAGTAGAAACATGCAAAGAAGATGATTCAACTCCCCCACTGCCCAGAGTAAGCACTTCCTGCTCATTTCTCTTCCCTACCCACCCATAACTGTGGTTGATTTTATTGTTGAATAGTCCACATTTTAAGATTCAGTTCTACAGGAAGAACTTTTGAGAAGGTTGAATGGGATCTAGATTCAGACAAAATATCACAGAATAAAATTTCTCTGCAGAGTCTGCTGATTTGACTAGAGATGAAATATCATCATCACACTGGAATCAATCCTACATATAACTATTTAGGAAGCTTGCCTTTAACACATCCAGCTTTCCTTTTATTCTTCACCTGTTTCAATGGTAATCCTTCTTCCCATTTCAAAGGCCTTCCTATCTATCCTCTCTGCTCTTTCTTGTTATAAAAAACTAACAAAAATTATGTCTACACCTCATTGACAGACATAAGAAACCACTTAAGTGAATTTTAACCAATATGTCAACTCCACCAGATATTTATCTTCTAAGCCTTTAACCCTGAAATGTGGAATAAAAGGCATGTTCCCAGAAGAATTTTAGACCTCAGCAGACAAATGGTAGAAAGAGAGTGGTGGAGAGAGGTTTCCTCCCTCCTAGTTATCAAAATGACAAAATCTGAAGGTAAACCAAGTATCTATTTAGGGTACAAAGATTAAGTCGAAAAGGGTAGCACCCTCCATTGGAAATTATAATGGCCAACACTATTGCTTCAATTTCTGGCAGATATCTGGAACACTAGAAATTAAAAATTTTTAAGGTTTGAGAAAATTGTTAATTATTATAGTGATTTGAAATCAGAATGCAAAGTATTTTCAAAGCTAGCCTACACATATTCAACATGTTTAAATATGCTATAGTCATATAGCACCCATGCTTACAAAGTATTTTCATATATGCTCTGTCATTTGAACTTCAACGATATATAATATAAACATCACTTCTAGTTTTCAGAAGAAGAGTCTAAGGTTTTCAGGTAATAAGGATAATAAAAGACTAAGCCAAGACTGAACATGAGTTGTGAATCCAAGTATTTTCTCACTATAATATTTAACTTATACAGCAACATTAAAATGATTTGCACGTATCAATTCCAAATACTTTTTAGGTAAAAAAGTGATATTGTCCCCAAATTTCTAAGTAAATTATTATATTTTCAAGTTCAAGTTTCTTGTTTTTATAATCTTTGTCAAAGATAATTGTTTTGCTATTTTTCACTTTCTTTCCTTTCTAAAAGAATTCCATAAAAGAAAAAATACTGTCAAAAACATATAGCTAACAAATAGAAAAAGTAATCTTCTAATATCCCCAATAAACATTTCTCATTTGGATTTTTATTTGATATCCTTTGAAAATCGTATCCAAATTCATTTAATACATTAGCTTAAACACCCATATTGGTCATTTCAATTCAGTGACTCATGTAGATTTTTGTAACTAGCGTTCTTGTATACTTTATTATTTTGTCCTTTAAAGGGATGTGATATACTGAAGGTTGTAATCTATTTCTGCCAAAGTGTGTTTTACCTTGGCTTGAAGTGAGTAATAAAAAGGGATTATTATGAGTTTTAAATCTATATAATATTAAATCTGATTCAGTTTCCCAATTGAGTAAGTCCTTTTCAGAGACTACAGTTTGAATAAGGGAAACTTATTCAATTGGGAAACTGAATCAGATGTAATATTATATAGGTTTAAAACTCATATGTTTTGCTACTTTTAAGTTATTGTCTATTCAACAGAACATAGGTTCAGAGTATCTACTGTTAAAGTTACCAAATCCAAATTTCCTTTTGAAACAACATTGGCAATTTTAAGGAAAAAAGAGATGACAGAATAAAATTCATCACATGTGAAAACTGACCACTGCAGTGCTATAAGTTTTATTTATTAAGAAAAGTGATATTCATTAAATAAAAATATCATCTGAACATTTAAAAGAATAGTCAAAGTAAGAAAGGGGCTCACCGGTCTGAGTGAAACCAAACTGATGTAGAATCTCTTGAGTGGTCAGCATGTTTGACTGTTTTAACTTAGACTGTTGTGAGGAGGCTGCTGGTGGTGAAGTAAACGAGAGATTTTTGTTGACCTGTAATAGGAAAAGCAAATCAGAAACTACAACGTAATTTCCTGGGTTACTGATGCAAAACTGGATGAGAAATATTTGCTTACAATACAAACCAGGACATATGGTAGGTCAAAAGGAGTGGTAATGATTTATATGGTTAGTTTGTAAAGTTTACAAAAGAGAATAGTTTTCATCAAGGAAAAAGTACAATGGTAATGAAAGCATAACTATATGAAAATAAATCAGCCTTACTAAAGTTTATCATGGAATTGACATTAATAATAAATTAAAATAGAGTGGTCCTTAGTTATGCAAAGAAATGCAAAAAATAAAAATGACTCCTTGACTATCTTCAATTAAGGAAGAGTTAAAATGTTTCACATTCACATTTCTCTAGCATTTTAGTGAAATAGCAGGTATTTCCTTTTCAGAGACTACACAGAAAACACCTGTACTACTCTTGTTTATGTACAACATGGTGACACAGATACCACAGCTGTAACCTAAACTTGCCATGTGAAATAGTTTCCATTGCATCAAAACACCTAATTCTTAAGGCACTGTTTAAAAACAGCATTAAAATAATAATCAAGCAAAAATTCTCTAAGTAAATACAATGTTTTATAACATAAAATCTATTATGATTGTTTGAGTACAATGGTCTCACAGAAATGAAATGCATAATAAGTGCAACATTTTACCTACAACTCTTGTAGAAAAATAAAGAGCAGATCACTAAAACAGTTTGAAATGTTTATTAGTAAATTTATCTTGTAAATTAGAATTAATCTCAGAAAAAAATCTAGTCTTTGGTTCATTATTAATCAATCATTGATTATATCTTTTTATTACTTTCAAGAAGCATAATAAAATGTGATATATTTTTTAAAAACTGAAATGTCTGATTTTCTAATTCACTGCAAAAATGTTCTATGAACTAATGAAATGATAAATTATAATTTATAACATTTATTATAATGCTTATTAGTATATGAAAATAGCTTTCTCTTTTTTGTTTAAATAATCAAAACTACACAGATGATTTCTGTTGTACTACCATTTAAAAACTCCCTTTTAGCTGGGCTCGGCGGCTCAGCCTGTAATCCCGTGCCTTTGGGAGGCTGAGGTGAGTGGACTGCCTGAGCCCGCGGGTTCGAGACCCGCCTGGGCAGGCGAGACCTCATCTCTACAATAAGTAAAAAATTAGCCGGGCGTGGTAGCATGCGCCTGTAATTCCGGCTACTCGGAAAGCTGAGGCGGAAGGATTGCCGGAGCCCAGCAGGTCGAGGCTGCGGTGGCCAGGAGCAGCCACTGCACTCCAGTCTGGGCGACAGAGTGAGACTCCAACTCAAAAAAAAAACAAAAACAAAAAACTCCCTTTTGATGTTCTGTGTAAGAAATACTTTGTTGTGGTTTCATGCCCTGTATTTGACTCATTATTTACATGTTTGTAAATGCTTTTTTTCTTTCAAACAGTGATAGAAAATGGTATGTGTCAGATTTTCTCTTAGAGCAAAGAGCTTTAGCAGATTGGGTGGAAAATCAATTATGACCATATACTAATACAGTTAGTTCTAAAGTACCTAACCTGTTCTGATGTCATTTCTTTAAAAATAAAAATATTTTTCAAAGTATTTGGAAGGGGTCATATACACATCAGGGCTAAAATAATATCCAGCTTTAAATGTCCTATTGGGATACATTAAATATTAACCAAAATAAATGTTGACTGTTTATAATAACACAACACCTAAAATTAAAAACTCACTTAATATCTTAACGTCTTTGAGCTTCATTTTTCATTTTTTTTTTTCTTATCAATATTTTTTATTTTGATATTGTGGGGTACAATTAAGGGTTAGGTATACAAATATGCTTCGTTCAGGCACCCTTGTTGATAAGGGGTGTCTCCCCACTCATTTTCCATTTTTAAATGGAGATAATAAAAATAGTATCTATGCTTCAACAGAATGTTCCAGGAAAGCAACAATAATAAATTGCTATCATAAAGTGCTATTTACATGTTAACCATAAAGCACTAAATAACATATTAAACAAGAAATAGATTAAGTAGAATAAATTGGCAAAGGCAAACCACAAAGTACTATACAAATAAAGAGCTATATAAATATTATTTATTATTATTAACATCACTAGAAGTCAGGGTAATTCTGTATGTTAATTGTAGTATGATGATGAAGTAAATTTTTCAGAGTTCTATACTTTTAAATGGAAATATTATTTACAAAAGGACATATTTAGCACTAACTGTTTCATTCACTTCTTTTTAGAATCGTACCTCAGTTTTACTTAAGTGTTCTTGAAAACTTTTATCCTACAACATCGAATAATGCATTTTAAAATTCTAGTGCAAACAAACAGGTGTATGCCAGGGATATGGAGATACACACACACACACACACACACACACACACACACACACACATATGAATATATACGCATACACATACAATATGCCTTTTATAGTCTTCCTCTTTAGAAATTTGTGCTATAACAAAAAAGAATACCGAGAGTAAAATAGGATACTCTGCCTCTACTCAAACAGAAAGACTTGTCAATCTTTTTAAATAAAATGTTGTTTAAAAAAACTATAATCTACAATTATATGTTCTTCCTAAGTATTTTTATAATTCTGTTCTTTCTGGAAACATTTCCTTAGAGACTATTCAAATGTGCATATAGTGACAAGTAGCAACAGAATAGATAGCTCAATTTCTAAGGTTTGGGATAACTTAATTATTATTATTATTATTATTAGTGATTTGTTTTGAAATTAGACTTAAAGCTTTTTCAAAGCTAGCTTACACATATATTTACCATTTCACTTAGAGGAAGAAAAATAATAATAACCATTAAATAGAGTGAAGCAATATCTATTTTTGAAATATATGCTGTGGAAAAGAATTACTTAATAATTTTACAACAACAGAAAGGTTGGCTAAGATAGTCTACCCTATGCCAATCTACCCTCTTTTCACAACACACTTTTCTGCTTGCTTCATGCAAAACCACAGTCTGGCAAAGTCAGTTTGATACCTCCATATTGGAGAAAACTAAAAGCATAAATATTTAATGAAATCCATAACAAAGAAAAAAAAATCACTTAGAACTTCTGCCAAGTTAATCACCAAACTGCTTTGCCTTTTCTGTAAGGTAAAAGCAGACTTATGTAAAATATGCAAATACAGTTCTCTAGGAGGAGGTTAATTTTCATGTTACAAAACTTACTATCTCAAACATAAAATGGAAAACACAAGACTAAACAAGTTGATAATTAGTTTCTCTTTTAGTGATTAGTTAAAATTTCAAGACTTTGGGAGAGATATAACACTCATTTTCATAAATACAAGTCTAATCATTTTAGCTGATTTTAGATTACATGCTACATTCACCTGAAGTAGAACTGTTTATAAGGTTTCAAGCTGTGAAGATACCTCAAACTGGTTTTAAATGATAACAGAAGGGGTGTTAATGCTGTATGTATACCTAAAAGTTTACAAATTCATCTCTTTCCTCTAGACAGTTGTCATTTTCCCCCCACTAAATCTGAACAAAAATGCAGTTAATATTTTAACTTAAAGACAGTTCTGGTGTCATTTAAAAAAACAAAACAATACTCAGGAAATGTTCTGTTGCAATTCACTTATCTGTTGTAAAGATTAAAATCCCAGTATTAAAGAATAAGTTAAGCAGAAAACTTGAGCCAAAGTGAGATTCAAGGTATCTGAAGTCTGGTATCTTTGTATTCTCATAATATAATTTTTTTTTTAAGAGACAGTCTTGCTCCGTTGCCCAGGATGGAGGGCAGCAGTGCAACCATAGATCATTGTAACCTTGAACTCCTGGGCTCAAGAGATCCCCTCAGTCTCCTGAGTAGCTTGGACTACAGGCCACCACACCCAGCTAATTTTATTTTATTTTTGTAGAGACAGGCTCTTGTTATGTTGCCCAAGTTAGTCTCAGACTCCTAGCTTCAACATTCCTCTTGCCTCGGCCTCTGAAAGTGCTAGGATTACAGGTGTGAGCCACAGTGCCTGGCCTCTCATAATATAAATAAGAGTGGTTTGTATTCCTGTGATTTGCGGATTAGTAAAATCTAAAAAATTATTATCCTATGGTATCATAAAAAGCAATTAAAACATGACCTCTAGGCTCTTAGATGTCTTCTTTAGAAGCCAGGATAGAGAAGTAAGAGATTCAAAAGAAACACTAACTGTTAAAGAGAAATTTTTATAGCGGTAAGATGCCAGCAAATCTTACCCCAAAATCAGTTCTTAAAACTACTATGTAACTAAAACCAGAATTCAAATTTGAATCACTCACTATAAAGTTTTCTTTTGTAATATTTAATCAAGAATTTTTCAGCCTGATAAGTATCAAGGACTGGTGGTTCAAAAACTACTGATATGATTCCTCCATGTGAAGTTCAAAATTAAGATCTAGTCCTGGCTCAAACCAATCATCTAACGATATGCCTTAGGGTAAGGCAACTTACTTCAGTGTATCCTGGCTTTCCCCAAACCTTAACCTCCTTTCTCTCTTATATACTGCCGTACTTCACAGAGAAAATCTGGTCTTGAAGCCCTTGAACTTCTCATTTCCAAACGATGACAGAACGCAACTCTTGCACCTATATTTTATTCTAGTGTCACAGGAATGGGGCACTCTATTCAAGATAAATCCTTCCTTGGTCCCCTTAGGGATATCCTTAAAGCTCTTCCAAATTCTACTATCACATTCCTGCTAACTATTTCCCCACAGGCTAGAAGCATAGATCCCTCTACTTTAGTACAAAATTAAACAGCAAACAAAAAAATCTCTCCCGCTGATTCCATTACTTCCTTAAGCTTCATTAAAAGCCAATCTCCTGGAAAAAGCACACTGTTGCTCGTCATATACCCCAACCTTTCAATCTTCAACCAACTATAACAAAGCTTGTCTCCATCCAAACATGAAGCTGAAGTTAAGGTCACCCTGGATCAAATTCAGCAGATTCTCTT